ACGCCTACCCTCGCACCGCACAGCAGCACACCAGCACCACATGACACCTCACTGCACCCCACCGCAGCACACCAGCATCCTTGTGACTCATTTGTTATGCCCACCTCCACAAGTGACATCGTCTCCATGGTGATGTCTTCAATTCCGGCCGCCCCCTCTGCTCCTCTATGGGTTTGACTCCACACCACACTGCACCACACCAGTCTCTGTAGCACCCACCTCCACTAGTGACTTCTTCTCCATGGTGATGTCATCAATTCTGGATGCCCCCTCTGCCACATGAATGCAAATCCAAGACGCTCATAACACACCCGCACCACACCTCACCATACCAGACTGCACCACACCGCACTGCACCACACACGACCACACCACAGGCATGTCTTTACTATGCCCACCTCCACTAGCGACATCTTCTCCATGGTGATGCCATCAATTCCGGCCGCCCCCTCGGCTCCAGAAATGCATAATTGAAACTCTCACCACAGTGTGCAGCGCCTACCTACACACCACACCAAACCGTACCGCACCGCACTATGTGTGTGCAGCACCCACCTCCACCAGCGACATCTTCTCCATCGTGATGTCATCGATTCTCGCTGCCCCCTCTGCTCCAGGAATGCATATCTGACAGGACAGAATGAATAGGACAGGAATGCTGTCAGCAACTGTGTTAGTGTTAAGACGGACCAATCACCAACGTTGGCGTATAGAGCAGATGCAGCTAGGTAGGTGAATGAGAGCACATGCCGCAATCGGTTAGAGCAGCCTCACTTGGTAGTTTCTGAACCAGATGCGGCCATCCAGGTAGGTGAATGTGAGCACATGATCGTAGAATGGCTTCGACTTGCGGTGGCCCTTGGGGGTTGCAAACGTCTGCATGCGCTCACAGAGGGGGGGGGGGAGAGGGGGATGGGTTAGTGGGTGGGCAGCAAGGCGAAGGACCCTGATGCAAAAACAGACTTCTATACTTGAAGGGAAGAAGTGACAGAGTAGAGCGAGACTGCAATGGGTAAGGGCACGGCACGTGAGCGTGCATCCGTGAGTGCATGAGAAAGAAGGGCACGTGAGCGTGCATCCGTGAGTGCATGAGAAAGAAGGGCACGTGAGCGTGCATCCGTGAGTGCATGAGAAAGAAGGGCACGTGAGCGTGCATCCGTGAGTGCATGAGAAAGAAGGGCACGTGAGCGTGCATCCGTGAGTGCATGAGAAAGAAGGGCACGTGAGCGTGCATCCGTGAGTGCATGAGAAAGAAGGGCACGTGAGCGTGCATCCGTGAGTGCATGAGAAAGAAGGGCACGTGAGCGTGCATCCGTGAGTGCATGAGAAAGAAGGGCACGTGAGCGTGCATCCGTGAGTGCATGAGAAAGAAGGGCACGTGAGCGTGCATCCGTGAGTGCATGAGAAAGAAGGGCACGTGAGCGTGCATCCGTGAGTGCATGAGAACGAAGGGCACGTGAGCGTGCATCCGTGAGTGCATGAGAAAGAAGGGCACGTGAGCGTGCATCCGTGAGTGCATGAGAACGAAGGGCACGTGAGCGTGCATCCGTGAGTGCATGAGAAAGAAGGGCACGTGAGCGTGCATCCGTGAGTGCATGAGAAAGAAGGGCACGTGAGCGTGCATCCGTGAGTGCATGAGAAAGAAGGCCGTGAGGGCGTGCCTGGATTAAGAGCTCCTTGAGAACAGAGAGGAAGGGTAGGCGGTCAAACGAGGGGTTGAAGGTGAGTGCAGTGGGAGGGGGAGCGTCAGTGGGAGGGGGAGCGTCAGTGGGAGGGGGAGCGTCAGTGGGAGGGGGAGCGTACGTGCGTGTCTAGATGAGGTGGAACAAGATGAAGGGGAGGAGGGGGGGGGGGGGGGATTGTGTGAGCGTGCCTGGATGAAGAGCTCCTTGAGAACGGAGAGGAAGGGCAGGCGGTCGAACGAGGGCGAGAAGGTGAGGAAGGGACGCGAGCCCTTGAGGTGGTTGCCCGTTAGCTTGAGCTCCTCCATTGTGTGCACTGGGGGGTTGGTGGGGGGGGATGTGGTGTGATAGGGGGAGTAAGGAAGGAGGGGGAGTGGGCGAGTTGAGTGGGCGGACAAGGACGGACGGCCCTTGAGGTGGTTGCCTGTGAGCATGAGCTCCTCCATTGTGTGCACTGGGGGGGTAGAGGCGGGGGGTGTGGAGGGATGGCGCGGAGGGTGGGGGGAGGTGGAAGAGGGGAGAAGCATGGGAGAGGAGTGGGTGAACAAGGAAAGCCCTTGAGGTGGTTGCCTGGCAGCTTCAGCTCTTTCATTGTGTGCGCTGCTAAGGAAAATGTGTGGACGAGGGGTTAAGGGGGTGGAAAGGGATTTGACAGGGGTAGGCGCACAATTGGAGGTTGGAGCTTGTACCAAAACTTGGTCGCTTTGAGACGTGTCACATGGCGTGCGTGCAGAAACGTTACTCAAGCATGCACATTCGAACAACACACCCACGGGTACGACGAGCGAGCATACCTGCACTGACGAGAAACTTCACGGAAGGACCCGAGGGCCCCTTGCTTAGCCACAGGTATAGGTCTCTCTGCTTGCGCATCTGGCAGTGAGAGGGAAACAGAGATGGAAGGAGAGAGATGGAAGGAGAGAGATGGCTGGCACCACCAGTGTATGGGCGGCAGGGGCATGAACACAGATGGCTGGCAGTGGCACAGACAGAGCTGCAGGTCTTGCGCTTGTGCGTATAAGGCACGGGGCAGGGACTGAGTGACAGGGGCGGTCAAACGAGTCCACTCAGGGCATGCAGTGAGGAAGCCAAAGTGTGAGGGGCAAGGTGTGGCGGGGCGGATGGAGAGGGGGGGAAAGGGGAGGGAGAGGGGAGGGGAAGGGGAGGGAAAGGGCGGGGCACGGAACAAGATGGGATGGCCTGGGGGGAGCGGGTGGGTGGGGTGAGGGGAGCTGAGGGCGGCACCGTACCTCGAAGAAGAGGCAAAGCGAGCAGCCCCGTAAGTCCATGAGCTCAGAGAGGAGTGGAGTAAGGTGGGGTGGGGAGGGGTGAAGTGAGCAAGGCAGCAAAGCACCTCACCTCGAAGAAGAGGCACAGGGAGCAGCCCCGTAAGTCCATGAGCTCAGAAAGAGCCTCGTTGAGCTGACGGCCGCGAGCCACGTCCACCTTGGGCTCCTTCTTGCTGTGCGGCAACAGCGCCGTGATGTCCTCCATTAGATGGCGGTACCTGGGAGAAGAAAGCAGGCAGGAAAACGATAAAGAGTGAGAGAGGGGCACATGACCATTCCATGCGTGGGAAGGCACCACTAGCAGTGCTAAGTCCACCTTTGGCTCCTTCTTGCTGTGCGGTAAGACCGCTGTGATGTCCTCCATTAGATGGCGGTACCTGGGAGAGGCAGGCGGATAAGCGTAAGCGGTGGGATAAGCCAAGCCTCGACCAAAGGTAGAAACCCCTGAACCCCGCAGAACCCTAATGCAACCCTGCCCCCGTCAGTGGCCCAACCCTGACACCGACACAACGACCGACCTGTACACAATGCCTCGCGACGACAGAACCAGAACCTTCTCCTTCTTAAACCCCACCACTGCCTTCCCCTGCAGTGCCCCCGCTAACGCGCCCGCCGCTTTCCCCTGCAACTCGCTCTTCGGGATAAGCCCCACGTGGACGACTCGCGTGCTCTGATTGGCTTTCGTCGCTTCTTCCGCGGCTGTCTTCGCTGCGATTTTCTTCTGCTTCTTCTTCGCGATCATCTCCTGTTTTTTCGTTAAAAGCGGCTTCGATTTCGCGCTAATGCGCGATTGGCCTTTCGCGGCTGGCGCCGCGGCGGTAACCGTCGCTTTTTGTATTTTCACGGAGGACTTCGCCACGCCTAGCGGGTTCCGGGTCGCTGGCTTCACCCTCTTCACCGGCGCAGGTTTCGACCTCGCCATTTGAGATATATGTCTGGAAAGACGAAGGAAGAGGAAAAGAACGGACGAGCACGCGAGGAGTAGAAAGCGAGGAAGCGGGAAACCGATTACTTGGATCGCAATGCGGCGATTATTGAGTGAGAGACGATGCGTTGACCTCTAATTTTCGTGACTGGTTTTGCTGCGCTGAACCTCTGTGGTTGAGGGGAAGAACAATATTTTGGGAAGGTCGAAAAACACTGAGCTTTTGGTGCTACACTTTTTGGTTCAGTTCACGCTAGTTCCATGCTGTTCGCTGCTTGTATCGGGAATAAGAGCATCTGGGTATGGAAAGAAGCGGGCGGGAGCGTCAGCTTTACGTTCCCCAGCCAGCATTGCAGGTTCGGGCCTGAACCAACCTGCGACCTAGATTTCATCGTCACCCATACGAGGATGATGATTCATAAAGTTGAGGCGGGATTTGGCGGGAAAGCCTACCCTTGAAATTCAGGGTGCAGCTTTCATGCTTCTTGCACACGTTCAAGGTTCCATGGCTGCTCCATTTTATAATAAATTTCGGAGCTTCGTCTTTCTTCAGTGGGTTGATTTATTTCCGTCTTATCATTCCTCACACTACGACGCTAAGCTGCTTGTTTCAAGGTTTTCCTAGTGTCCGTAAAAACAGATATATTTGCAAATCTTTCAAAGTACTCTGTTCAGTGTTGCGCGGTATACTCTTGCAGAAATTAGTCAACTTATGTCGTCTTAGATCACCGATCGTCACCCTAGGTGGTAACGATGGTTGCTGCTACGCGAAGCCGTCGCAAGCCTTCGCACAAAATTGATACGCTAGAGGTCAACGCGAATGGCTCGCTAGAGCCTCACGCTAATACAACGCGACAGCACACTCCGTCACCGGACGTGTCGTTTCTCGTTAACGGGGACGACAGCAAACCTAGTCTGAACAAGGGTCCCAAGCCTACTTCGAGCCTGCCTCCTGAGTGTAGTCCGAGCCTGGCTGCGAGGTCTGGTCCACGTCTTAGTAGTGGCGAGGCGAGTTGTGGTCAGTCCCTTGGGATTGCCGATAACTCTATCTCTAGGGTAAGAAACAGCAGGAGTGGGAGGGCGAAGGCTGTCGAAGAGGGCGAAATGGGCGGCGTACTGGCGAAGGTTTTCGCTGGTGTGACGGAAGGTCTGAGCGTCGAACGGATAAGAGGGAATCACGACGCGCAGGAGCCGGGGGAAAATGCTCGCGGGGAAATGGCTGGCGGAAGGGTGGAGGCGGAAGACAGCGGGGGGAAGGTGGAGGGGAGTGGGGGAGAGATGGCGGTGGCGGAGGAGTGGGGGGAGCTGTGGAAGGGGTGTGGCGGAGGGGAGGGCGGGGAAGTGGGGGGCGAGACAGAGGAGATGGACTGGGCGGGGGATGGATGGCTGGCGGATACTCAGATCGTGGGGGAGGACGAGGAGACGCAGGTGTATGGTTATGGTGGGAGTTGGAGCCCTAGTAAATGTGGGAACGAAAAGGAAAAGGAAAAGGAATTTGATTTGAGTTTGGTTGTTGCTAGGGGGGGACCAGAGAAGGTGACAGGGAAAGGGTTAGCGAGGGGTGGAGGACAGGCGGAGGGCGAGCTGGGGGAAAGATTAGAGCAGGGGCGAGGGGAGGAGAGGCAAGAGGGAGAGAGGCGAGAGGGAGAGAGGCGAGAAGCGGAGAGGGGAGATGAGGAGAGACGAGAAGCAGGAAAGAAGCAAGAGGAGGGGGAACGGAAAGAGGAAACGGAAGTGGAAGGGGTAGAGCAGAGGGGAGGAGAGGAGGAGACAGATAAGGGGGTGAACCGAGAAAAGGGTGGGAAGCAAGGAGAGGAGGGGCAGGAAGAGGAGGAAGAATCACCTGTGAGCTTCAAAGGCAGAGGTAGGGGAGGAGGGAAGGGAAGAGGGCGAGGGAGAGGCGGAAGGAGGGGCGGGGGACGCGGAAGTGGCAAGGGGAGGAGTTTAGAAAGGGTTGTGCTCGGGACGGGGAAGGCGGTTGTGGAGGGCGGGGAGGAGGTAGCAGCAGCAGGTGCACTCGCAGCAGCAGACTTGCCGGCACCGGCCGCAGCAGCAGTAGACACGACAGCAGCAGCAGCAGCAGCAGCAGCAGCAGCAGCAGCAGCAGCCGCAGCAGCCGCAGCAGCAGGAACGGCAGAGAAATCACTACCAGCATCAGCAGGAAAAGCGGCAGCAGGAACAGCAGACACATCACCAGCAGCAGCAGCAGCAGCATCAGGAAAAACAGCAGCAGGAACAACAAGCACATCACCCGAAGCAGCAGCAGCTTTGTGTGGGGACTCGGTGGATCCAGGCGAGGACACGCAGGTGGACGCCCTCGGTATAGTCACGCGCCTGCTGGGCTCCGACAGCCAGCACAGCAGCGGCGTGCTTCTACCGGGCGGTGCACTGGGCGGGCTGCTGCTGGGGGGAATGGGCGGAGGCATGGGGGGAGCGGCTGGGGGCGAGAAGGGGGGTAACAGCAAGGGCAGTGGGGCAGGAGGTACGAGCAAAGGAAGGGAGGTACCCAGCTGGGCTAACTGGCTCAAGCCGGTGGGGAAGGCAGGAGGAGGGACGGTGGCTGACGGGCACGTGGGTGTTTCTGGTGTGCAGCAGCCGTTGAAGGCTGTTCTGAGGGAGGATGGGGTGGACCCGTACGCGCTTCCTTACAGTGAGGACCCGGACGAGGGGGGGTGTTGGGGCAAGGGCGGAGTGGGTGAGGCGGAGAGGGGGGCGGAAGGAGGGAAGGCTAGTGGAGGGCGGAAGGGAGGGGATAAGGGAGATGGGGTGGAGGAAGAGGAGTTGGAAGAGGAGGAAGAAGCTCGAAAAGTGAAGGGGAAGAGGACGCGTGGAAGTGCAAGAGGTAAGGGAAGAGGAGGAGGAAGAGGGAGAGGAGGGAGAGGAGAGGGGAAGACAAAGGGGAGGGGCAAAGGGGCGAAAGGGGCAGGTAGCGGAGAGGGTATAGAAGAAGAGAAAGGGGAGGAAGAGGAGGCGGAGGGGATGGGGCAGAAGGGCAGAGGGGGGAAGAATGGCAGGTCAGGGACGGGCGGGCGTGGGGCAGGTGCAGCAGGGCAAGGGGGGAAGCGAGGGAGAGGCGCAGGGAAGGGTGCAAGTGCAAGTCCGAGCCACGGGCTGGATAGAGAGTATTTCTTGAAGCTGAGTCAGCTGCAGGAGGAGGAGGAAGAGGAGGAGGAGGGGAGGGGGAAGAGAAGACGGTTGTCAAAGTCTTGGAGAGCAGGAGAGGGCGTTGGAGGAGAGGAGAAGGAGAAAGGGGTGCCGCAGATAGAGGAGAGGGAGGAGAGCGAGGAGAGAGCTGGGATGGAAGAGAAAGCAGTGGGAGCGCAAGAGGGCGAAGTTCCTCCTGAAGGTGAGGAGACAGGGCTGCAACATCCGAGGTTGGGGGAGTCTGCTCCCTTGGAAAGCCAGGAAGGAGGACCGCTGAACCCAAGCCTGGGCGACGCAGCTGGTGTGGAGAATGCGGGTCTGAGCGAGCCAGTTCCAGTGGGAGCAGCAGGCGGGCAGGTGCAGGGATCAGAAAACGCGGACGGTATGCCCTTTGATTCCCAGGCGGTTTGGATGGACTCGCAAGCGGTGGAGATGGGTGTGGGGGGGAGCCTGGGCGTGCAGGTGAGCCTGGGGGAGGTGTTAACTGCGGATCTGGAGATGTCCCAGCGGTGGACGGAGGGGGGAGGGGGCGGAGGAGGGAGTGAGGAGGGGGGTGAGAGGGTGGAGGAGAAGGAGGGAGGGGATGAAAGGAAGGTTGATGGGGATGAGGGCAAAGGTGGAAAGGAGGGCAAGGATGGTGGGGAGGGGAAAGAGGATGGTGAAGAGAGGGGCAAGGGTAGAGAGGCGAGGGGCAACGTGAGTGGGAAGTCGGATGCAGGTTTGGCTTCAGTGGAAAGCGGGGAAGGTGATGGAGTGAATAAGGACGGGGAAGAGGAAGGAGGGAGGGGAAATGGTGAGAGGGAGGTGAAGAGAAGGCGAGTGGGGAGTGGTTTGAGCACTGAAGGAGTGGAAGGAGGGGGAAGAGGGAGGAAAAGTCCAGAGGTAGAGGGAGCAGGGGAGGCAACAGAGGCGGGGGGAGAAGCAGAGGCCGGGGGAGCAGCAGAGGCCGGGGGAGCAGCAGAGGCCGGGGGAGCAGCAGAGGCCGGGGGAGCAGCAGAGGTTGGGGGAGCAGCAGAGGCCAGGGGAGAAGCAGAGGCCGGGGGAGCAGCAGAGGCCGGGGGAGCAGCAGGGACAAAGGCGTCAGCAGAGGCAGGAAAGGAAACTGAGGAAGGGGGAACAGTAGGAGCAAGCGCGAGAGCAGCGGGGGCAGCCAGGACTGAAGCAGCTGCATTGGGTGGTATGGCTGGTGATATTGCTTGTGCGTTCTCCCCCGTGGGTGAAGACACACAGATTGCCCTTGACGCTCTTGACCTCATTCTCGTGCAGGAGGAGGGGATGGGGGAGGAGGAGAAGGGGGAGGGGGAGGGGAAGGTTGAGGAAGCAGAGGAGGGCGGGAGAGGGAAGAGGAGAGCAGCTGGGAGAGGCAAGGGAAGAGGAAAGGGGAGAGGGCAAGGGAGAGGCGTGGGGAGAGGGAATGGAAGAGGGAAGGGAGGAAGAAGAGGGGTAGTGCGGGAGGAAAGCAAGAGTGAAGCAGGTGAGTTGAGTGCTGTGGCTTCAGTGGCAGAGGTGGAAGGTGCACCAACGGCAGCAGGAGCAGCAGAAGCAGCAGTAGGAGAGGCAGCAGTAGTAGAAGCAGCTGAGAAGCAAAGGGGAACAACAGAGCTAGGAGAAAGTGGGGAGCTGACCTCAACACACGAGGCAGCCAAGCCAGCAGCAGTCTCAATGCCACCATCGCCAGCAGCACCAGCAGAACAAGCAGCATCAGCACACGCCGCACCAGCACAACAAGCACCATCAGCACACGCAGCACAAGCAGCACCAGCAGAACAAGCAGCAGCAGCAGCAGCGGAAGCAGCACCAGCAGAACAAGCAGCAGCACCAGTACCAGCAGCTCCAGTTACCGAAACAGCAACAGAACCAGCAGAACCAGCAGCACCAAGAGCACCCTCAGCACAAGCAACACCAGCAACAACGGTTGAAACAGCAGGTGGGGCACAATCAGGACCGGCAGCGAATTTAGCCGCATCAGCTGCAGGAGCAGCAGCCGCAGCAGCAGCTGTGGAGAGGCGGGTGGTGGGGCGGATGACAGACGTGGGGCGAGGGGCAGGGCTGGTGGGACTGGAAAGAGCAGTGGAGGAGGAAGGGGAGCAGGGAGGGGGAGGTGCAACAGTGGAAGAAGGGAAAAAGGGTGGAAAGGAGGTGGATGGGGAAGGGGAGCAGAGCAGGGCGACTGGGTTGGAATCAGGCGGGGGAAGAATGGTCCAAGGCGTGGTGGAAGCAGATGAAAGGCGGGAGATCACGGGAGTTGGAGATACTGCTGGTGGTGCTGCTGCTGCCACTGCTCCTGCGGTTCCTGCTTCTTCAGGTGCCACCACCACGTCTCCCACTGCGCCTGCTGCAGCGGCTGCTGATCTGCCTCCCACTATTGATGCTGTCGGTACTACTGCTCCCCCAGAAATAGACCCCTCTCCTGCTCATGCTGTTCCCCCAAAGGACGCCCCTTCTGCTGCTGCTTCTGCTCCAGCAACAGGCGTAGACGCCCCTTCGGCTGCTGCTGTTCCAGCACCAGGCGTCTCTACAGCTGCCGCAACAGCAACAGTCGCCACTGCTTCTGCCACCAGGACCAGGGGAGGCAGGCGAGCAGCAGGCAGCAGTCGAATGACCCAAGGGTTGGTGGCCTGCCAGGTGAAGCGAGCGGTTAAGAGGGGGGATGGTGGTCTGAACGACGGGGCCGTAGCAGAGGGGAATGGCGGGGAGAGAGGAGAGGGAGGGTGCAAGAAGGGAGATCGCGGAAGGGGGGAGGAGGAGGATGGAGAAGGGGAGGGGGCGGTGGGGAACCGGGGGAAGAAAGTAAAGGGGAAGCCAGAGGGGAAGGAAGGGAGGAAGCACGAGGGGAAGGAGGGGAGGAAATTAGAGGTGGAGAAGGGAGGGAAGAAACAAGTGCGGAAAGAGGGGAAGAAGCAAGAGGGGAAGGAATTGAAGAATCAAGAGGGGCAGGTGGCAGTTGCTGGTGGTGATAGTGTGAGTGGGAGGAAGAGGAGAAAGACGTCTCTCGGGCTGCATGATGGCTTCTATGAGCTTTTGGAGTCGAGTGAGAGTGAGAAAGAGAGTAAGAAAGGGAGTGAGGAAGGGAGTGAGAAGGGGGGTGATTCTGCGAGTGATGTGGGGAGTGATGAGAGTGAGGAGGAAGATGAGGCAAAGGCGAGGAAAAGGCAGAAAGGCTCGACTGCTGGAGGCAAGCAGATGAGGAAGAAAGGCGAGAAGGCGAGGGATAGGGAGGTGGAGCAGAGGGGGTCAGAGAGGGTACAGGGAGGTAGAGAGAGGCAGCAGAGGGGAAAGGCAAAGGCGGAACGCAAGGCACGCGCGGAGAGCAAGGCACGGGCAAGTGCGCAGAGATTGGAGGAGCTGAGTGGGGCAAAGGCACGGACGGGGAATAAGAGTGAAGGGAGTGAGGAGGAGGAGGGGCAGGCGGAGCTGAAAGAGAGTAAGCGGAAGGGGAGAGTGGAGCAGGGGAAGGGAGTGGTGGAAAGTGAAGGAACCGGGGGGGATGATGCGTCCAGGGTAGGGAGGAGCACGAGGGGCAGGTGCCAGGGAGGCCAGAGAGTGTTGGCAACAGAAGGGGATGGGGTGGAGCAGAAGCAAGCGAGTGGTTGTAAAGAAGAAATTGGAGGAGAAAGGGAAGGAGAGCAGAGAGATAGAGAGGGGCAGGAATGGGTCGAGGAAGTCGGATTTCCAGGGAGGGCGAGAAGAAGACGGAGCAGCAGCGGTGCAGCAGGGTCTCATCGCACCGGGTTGCATGGTTTGTCTCCAGTGCGGGTACTGTTCAGCCGATCCCTGGACGGCGACATGATCGCTGAGCTGACGAAAGTAGTGGAGAGGCTGGGAGGAGACGTTGTGTCTGATACCTCCCCTGCCACCATCACCACTGCCTCTGCGCTCTCCTCCTCCTCCTCATCCTCCTCTCCTGTGGTTGCTTCTGCTGCCCCTGCTGCTTCCATCTGCACTCATTTTGTCTCGGCGCCGCAAATCACCCGCTCGATTAATCTCCTCGTTGCTATCTCCAGGGGCTGCCACGTGTGCACTGCTGATTGGCTGCATGCGTGTGCGAAGGCACGGGGGTTTGTGGATGCGGGGGAGTATGGAGTGAGGGACAGGCGGAAGGAGAGGGAGATGGGGTTCAAGCTGGGGGAGGCGGTGGGGAGGGCGAGGGAGAGAGGGGTGCTGGAGGGGCAGAGGGTGTTTGTTACGCCCAACACCACGCCCGATGCTCACTCCCTTGCTGCTGTTGCAGCTGCAGCTGGTGCTGAGGTGAGCGATGACCGGTTCTTATCCCCATGCTTGTGTTCTGGTGAGCTCATAATATTTGGCTTCCGGTGCTGGTGCTGAGGTGACTCTTGATTTGCCACGGCCTCCGGTCTCTAGAGCTTGGCTGGTGCTCCAGTCTCTGCTCTCTCCTGTCTCTAGAGCTTGGCTGGTGCTCCAGTCTCTGCTCTCTCCTGTCTCTAGAGCTTGGCTGGTGCTCCAGTCTCTGCTCTCTCCTGCCTTCTCAGACGTGCTCGCCTCCTCGCCTGCTGCTCTCCCCTCTCCTCACATCTCCAGGTGATGCCATCTTTGTCTGCCAGCAGTGCTCCCACGGTGATCGTCTCATGTCAAGCTGACAAACCTATGTGGGAAGTCCAAGCGTTGAAAGGTTGGTGGCTTTGTTGATTCTGGTGGGTGATTCATATGCTGAATCATCAGATGTTGAGTAATCAGATGCCATATCATCTCAAGCTGCCTCTTCTATTCAAGTCAGCGTGCTCCGTGCGAACCCCAACCATCCACACAACATGCCCTTCTGCTGAATGCAACAGCATGCTCCCGTGCTCGAACATGCGTGTTCTTCGGCGCATTGAACCTATTCTCCCGCCTGTTCTTTCCACATTTCGTCATGTCACCCCTTCCCACACCCACCGTCAGGCGTGCCTGTATTTTTACCAGAGTTTCTTCTGACTGCAGCAATGCGCCAACAGCTAGACTGGGGCAGGTCAGTGTGTGGTCAGATTAGAACTGGAGTGGGGGCAGGTCAGCACTGATGGCTCCTCTGTCAGCACATTCACTCGCATGCATGTCTTGGCAACATATCCTTCCTCCTTTGAATTTTGATCAAAATGCTCGGAAGTGCATGTGCCTTTGTTTGGAATAATTGGTCTTGCCCGCTTGTATGTTCTCCTTCCTATCCCTTTGTGAATGGGTTCACAGGAACCATCGTCTGTAACATCCTGCTCAACTAATAACGGAAGAGTCCGTACCGTATACTCTGTACTACATTGTAAAGTATGTTTATTCAATCACCTATTGTCAGAATACGAATAAAGAATGACATTGATGTCAAGCACCCCTTCGGTGGCGGGAATAAATTGCACTTCACTCAGTTTTCATAGAATGCACTCCACTCAATTTTATACATATTTTATTCACACTCATGATGCACTCCATTTTATACATATTTTTTACTCGAAAATACATATTTTATAACAATGAATCCTTTGAGGGTCTGTGAATCTCCTCGTCATGTGTACTAACGGGACAGTAGTTCCTACCTTCGATGGCGGTATTTTGACTCTTGACTTGACATCTAGCCGACAAAACACAGCCTCGCGGGCGCGCACCGCGTGGATAAGGAAATCTTGCCAAGTGTGGCAGCAGTGGACCAGTTTCGCTATCGTCGTCCTCTGAAACTTGTTTTGGTGCTCCTTGTGCAATTTCTCTCTAGTCATCAAAGCGCCGAGTTTTTCTGGTGGTGATGTGCTGGCATTCTTGACGGATAGAGAGCAGTTTTTTTAGGGCCATGGAGGGGAACTTACGATGGACTTCTGTGAAACAGCCTGCAGTCCCATTCCTACCTATCCGCAGTGGCATTGACTACCACGTCGTTCGTATGCAATGCGTGACAGTTAAGGACTGTGATGGACTGTAAAGGTCTTCCCTCTCACATGTGTCCTGCCCTGCTCTCGATCTGTGCGTAGCCTAGTAGCCAATCACACCAGCCCGTGGTGTGCGCGTTCGTGGCGTTTCGCACGCGCATTTCTGTTTTCACATTTTGTCATTCAGATTACAGTCGATCGATGGCTTTCGCCAGGTCTGAGTTCGTAGATCTGGTGACGGATGACAACTTCCAGCATCGCGTTCTGCGTGCTCCACAATTAATCGTGGTGGGCTTCTTGAGTACCGATTCCCAGTCCGAAGCGCTTGGTCAGAGTATTAACAGCATCGCGAGGGGACACCAAGATAGGAGCGAAGCTGTCAAATTCTATGTGGTGGACGCCTATGAGTATCCCGACTTGGGCCAGAAGTACGGTGCACATACTACACCTTCGATTATTTTCTTCAAGAATGGCACTGCTGTCCATACCTTTGCCGGGGTTGCACCCCCCGAGCATCTCATCCAAGTGTGGGTTGACGAGCACTTGTGAGCTCGCATAAGATGCTTCTTGTCGTTGGGTTTCTGACAAATGCCTTCTGTGAGATGTATCTCTCAAGTATAGTGCGATTCCATTGAAGCTGTGATGTGATTGCACATTTACCAGAAATACCCAATAGGATTGCCACGTGTACCCGATGGGAAGCATGGTCTGGAGAGATGCTCTAAATGCTTTCGCACGTGCAGAACGAAGAAAGATCTCGATGGCAGAAAGCGAAACAAGGGGAGCACGAAACACAAGCCAGCAGCTAAAGACCTTTGCCTGGGGACGGGGGGGAATAGGGCACAACTGAATTGCCTCTGCTTGCCCATCATTTGCATGCATGCAGTCAGACTGGATTCTCTGTACGTCCCCTTTCCCCTGAAACTTTTCTCCAAATACCGTATCTCAAGCGCATTTGCTTGTCTATACGTCAAGTTCTTTTGCTAGTTGCTTCTTTTTTATGCTTCCTATCGTTCTTGTGAATGCTTTTCCAGAAACCATTGTCTGTAAAAATCACCTTCTCAACAAATGGGGAGGAACCTGTATTATACTTATACTGTGGATTCTGCTTGTTTCTATAATTGCTTTCTAGGTATAAAATTGATAACTGGCATTTGTTTGTCGAATGCCCCTCTCGTTGTTAAAAATGGGAGGTACCTAATTGGTCTATGAACCTTGTCTGCTCGATCCTGTTTAATCCAACTTGTGCTTAGGACGCGGTGCAGATCGGGCAATCGATTGCCTCAGATTGTCCGATCGGGTCGGGTCGGATCGGATCGGGTGATATTGCCCCGATCTGAGGCAATCTGTCGATTGCATCCCGAGCCGCGTGATCAGATCACGAATTTCAAGGAAGTTAGTCAGAGTCGGCCACGCGGGTTCTAAGCTATTCAACCGTTCCTTCCCTACAAAGTTGGAGACACCTGGCGACAATTCTGTATCGCGCAATTACAATGTAGCCCCATTTTGTGTTCCCAATTCTTCCATCCCCATGACAAACGCGGTATCACGATGGTGCTGCGAGCAGTGACAAGTTTCGAAAGGGTAAGTTATCTTTCGCAGTTGTCGCCAGGCCCCGCGATCGGAGGCAATCTATCGATTGCAAGCGATCGCAAGCGATTGCGTCAGATCGGAGCGATCGATCGCAATCAATTGGATTTCCGATTGCAATCGACAGATTGCCCCCGATTGCATGCGATTGCCTCAAAGCAAGCGGCTTCTTCGAAATGGTGGATTGCCCCGATCTGACGCGATCGCACTAAGATCGGGCCGATCTGTACCGCGTCCTCAGTTAGTGGTGGGTCGTTAAAGCCCAAGACCTGAATTACAAAAAAAGGAAGGCAAACTGTGCACAGTTTGCCTACCGAACCCACGGTTGACCTCCCGAGCCAGGCTGGTTACCAGAAAACAAAGCGCCAAAAAACAGAGTGTCGTAGAGCAGAACGGGTTTGGTTGGCGAGAGTCCCAACCACACCCACCTGAAGGAACAAGGGCTCAAAATGTGCACAGTTTGCCTCCTTTGGTAATTCAGGTCGTGCGATTTCCATAGTACGCGAAGCGATTAGATCATGCGAAGAGATATAATAAAAAGCCACTAAAGCATAGGCCATGAGCATTTTCACATTTAATCCTAGCCCATCCCCAAACATCGCATTTGGACCTATCGCCTTTCGCGTCCCCCACGCTTCTCCCCACCGTCTCTCACACAACTTCCCACGCACACGCCCACGCTTCCCCTTACTGTCGCCCACGCTTTCCCCCATCGTCGCTCACGCTTCCCCTTACCTCCGCTCACGCTTCCTCCTGCCTTCCCCCACGCTTCCCCACACCGTCGCTCATGCTTTCCTCCACCTTCCCTCACGATTCCCCTCTCATCGCCCACGGTTCCTCCTACCGTCGCCCACGCTTCCTCCCACCGTCACCCACGCTTCCCCCCACCGTCACCCACGCTTCCCCCCACCGTCGCCCAAGCTTCCCCCCACCGTCGCCCAAGCTTCCCCCCACCGTCGCCCACGCTTCCCCCCACCGTCGCCCACGCTCCCCCCCACCGTCGCCCACGCTTCCCCCCACCGTCGCCCACGCTTCCCCCCACCGTCGCCCACGCTTCCCCCCACCGTCACCCACGCTTCCCCCCACCGTCGCCCACGCTTCCCCCCACCGTCGCCCACGCTTCCCCCCACCGTCGCCCACGCTTCCCCCCACCGTCGCCCACCGCCACCGTCGCCCACCCCCACTGTCGCCCACGCTTGCCCTCCCATCGCCCTCGGTTAGACTTCCCGCCGACCTCCCTTCTCTCCCACCTCTCTCCACGTCGTCATCACTCCCCTGCCCATCACGTTCCCCCTATTCACCATCGCGCCTCCACCCATGCCGCCCACCCTCTCATCCCTTCCCATCGCATTTAGGGTCGTCGTTGTATCCCTTCCAAATTGCCTCGTTAAGTCGCTTACGCTCTCCCCATTACCACCTTCTCTACTCCTACCATCGCCCATGGTTACCACCCCACCCTTGCACCCTTATTTCCTTCTCTCTCATTCTCCCTCCCCATCAGCCTCTCACCCACCCTGGGCGGGGAGGTATGGCGAGCTGGGCTGGGAGCTGGGGAAGGGGTCGTGACTCGTTCGCTGTGGGGTGTGGAAGGGTGCGTGGTCAGCAGCACCCACCCTTCTCTCTCTTGCACTGACCTCCTCTCCTCTCTCGCACCAACCCCACACGCATGGCAGGTGGTGGTGCGGCTTTGGAGCAGAGTGTTTGGCGCACAGCCAGGGCAGCGCGTGCAGGTGGGCAGCAAGGAGTGCAGTGCTGCAGGGGGCGGGTCAGGGGAGCGGGGGAGGCGGGGCAGGGGAGGCGGGGGTTAGGGAGAGAGGGTGCAGGGATCCTCCTATCCCCCGTTCCACCCTTATACCCTACCACACTTTTACCTCCTGCCCTCCTCCCTTACTCCGTTCCGTCGTTCCCCCACAGTCGTCCTCCTCTCCCTCTCCCTTCCTCCCTTCCTCCATCTCTCTGCCTCACTACCCTCTTTACCCTCTCTGTTGCCCGTCCTCCCTTCCTCCCTTCCTCCATCTCTCTGCCTCCCTACCCTCTTTACCCTCTCTGTTGCCCGTCCTCCCTTCCTCCCATCCTTCTTTCCTGCCATTCTTCCTCTCCTCATCCTCCCTCGATCCAGTCCCCCTTCCCCTTTCCATCTCCCACTCTCCCACTCCCTTCCTCACGCCAACCCTGCTCCTCCGTTCCACCCTTCTACCTTCCCCCTTGTACCGAGCCGCACTTTTTCCTCTCATCCGCCCATCATCTCATCCGCCCATCCTCTCATCCGCCCATCATCTCATCCGCCCATCATCTCATCCGCCCATCATCTCATCCGCCCATCCTCTCATCTGCCCATCATCTCATCCGCCCATCCTCTCACCGTCGCCCACGCTTCTGCCTTAGTGCCTTTCCGTGCTCTCTCTCCCCTACCCACGCTTCATCTCGCTCACCCTTCCGCCCTTCCTCCGTGTCTCCCTTGCTCATTTTCTGCCTCCGTGCATTCTTTGTTCCCCACCCTCCATCAGAGTTTGTGGTTCGTGTCTGTGCAGGTCTGCCATGCATCCAGTTCTGATGAGTATAGGGTTTGATAATATTAGTTGTCTACAATAGCTATGCCATGTACCGTTATTGAAGTTGGTTGGATGCGTCTCATAATACACCACATCGTGATTTGGAGCATTATGAAAAAGTGCAACAAAGCAAAATAATGTTCCATTTATGTTGCCAAGACAAGACTATAAGCACAAGCACAAAGCTAGGAGGTGGTAACTTTTTAACCCACTCCTGTTGGGACCCATGGTGCTGGCACCTGTACACGCATGGTTCTGTATGGAACGGGGAGGGAAGAGGGGATATGGCAGAATAAGCGAGGGGTGAAGGTGGAGGGCATGTATGGGAGGAGTTAGGCAGGGGAGTGAGCGAAGCGGGGAACAGAGTGAGCAGAGCAGGGTGGATAAGGCGGTGAGCAAAGGGGATAGCCAGTAAGCATGGGGCTAAGGAGGGGAAATGAGAGGACTTGGGGGGGAAAAAGAGTTGAACAAAGGGGAATAGAGAGTAAACAGGGTGGAAAGATGGGTGAGTACAGAGGGAAAGAGAGTGACCAGAGGGGGAGAGAGTGAACAAGGGGTAAGGGAGTGAGCAGGGGATTTTAGGGGCGAGCACAGGGGGAAATAGACCAAGCAGGGGGGAAATGGGTGAGAAAGGGGGAAAGAGGGATGAGAACAGGGGGAAAGAAAGTGAGCAGGGGGGAAGAGAGTGAGCAGGGGGGAAGAGAGTGAGCAGGGAGGGAGAGAGTGAGTATAGGAGTGAGCCGGGAAAACAGGGGCGAGCAGAGGGGGTAAGAGAGCGTGAAGGGGGGAAATGGGGGAGGTGAAGGCGACGGGAGGGGGAAGTGAAGGCGACAGGGAGGGGGAAATGAAGGCGACGTGGAGGGGGAAATGAAGGCGACGGGAGGGGGAAGTGAAGGCGACGGGAGGGGGAAGTGAAGGCGACGGGAGGGGGAAGTGAAGGCGACGAGAGGGGGAAGTGAAGGCGACGGGAAGGGGAAGTGAAGGCGACGGGAGGGGGAAGTGAAGGCGACGGGAAGGGGAAGTGAAGGCGACGGGAGGGGGAAGTGAAGGCGACGGGAGGGGGAAGTGAAGGCGACGAAAGGGGGAAGTGAAGGCGACGGGAAGGGGAAGTGAAGGCGACGGGAGGGGGAAGTGAAGGCGGCGGGAAGGGGAAGTGAAGGCGACGGGAGGGGGAAATGAAGGAGACGAGAGGGGGAAGTGAAGGCGACGGGAAGGGGAAGTGAAGGCGACGGGAGGGGGAAATGAAGGAGACGGGAGGGGAAGTGAAGGCGACGGGGAGGGGGAAATGAAGGAGACGGGAGGGGGAAGTGAAGGCGACGGGAGGGGGAAATGAAGGAGACGGGAGGGGAAGTGAAGGCGACGGGGAGGGGGAAATAAAGGCGACGGGAGGGGGAAATGAAGGCGACGGGAGGGGGAAGTGAAGGCGACGGGAGGGGGAAGTGAAGGCGACGAGAGGGGGAAGTGAAGGCGACGGGAAGGGGAAGTGAAGGCGACGGGAGGGGGAAGTGAAGGCGACGGGAAGGGGAAGTGAAGGCGACGGGAGGGGGAAATGAAGGAGACGGGAGGGGAAGTGAAGGCGACGGGGAGGGGGAAATGAAGGCGACGGGAGGGGGAAGTGAAGGCGACGGGAGGGGGAAGTGAAGGCGAGAGGAGGGGGAAGTGAAGGCGACGGGAGGGGGAAGTGAAGGCGACGGGAGGGGGAAGTGAAGGCGACAAGAGGGGGAAGTGAAGGCGACGGGAAGGGGAAGTGAAGGCGACGGGAGGGGGAAGTGAAGGCGACGGGAAGGGGAAGTGAAGGCGACGGGAGGGGGAAATGAAGGAGACGGGAGGGGAAGTGAAGGCGACGGGGAGGGGGAAATGAAGGCGACGGGAGGGGGAAGTGAAGGCGACGGGAGGGGGAAGTGAAGACGACGAGAGGGGGAAGTGAAGGCGACGGAAGGGGGGGGAAGGGGGGGGGGGGAGTGAAGGCGACGGGGGGGAAGTGAAGGCGACGGGCGGAGCGAAGGCGACGGGCAGGGGTCGCGAACGCGACGAGCTGCGGAAGCGATGGCGACGACGCGGGCGACAGAGAGCGGAAGCGTGGGACCTAGGGAAATGAAAGCGAGGGCGAGGGGAGGGTCACGCTTGGGCGAACGGGTGCGATTCGATTTCCGCCGCGAGTTTACGCTACGCAGTAGTTGCACAATAAAATGCATTTCGACACAAAAATCTTCACCCAGCGAGCACTAGCTTTGCGCGTCATCATCAAAATCCGTGCCACCCACATCGTAAGGCGCATCTGATCCCTTTTGAGTGAACGCCGACACCCTGCCTGTGAGAATTAGAACGAGAGAATGAATGACTAAGGAATGAAAGAGATACAAATATGAAACCCTAGAATTGTGTACCCCTTAGTGTCGAACCCGCTACAGCCTACACAGGCCAAATCATATAAGTTTGACACACCCCCATAGGCAAAGTGGGGGAGAACAAGGGGTCACAAGACCAGTCAAGCAAAGCAAGGCAAAGCAAGCTCAGGGTGGATCACAACGTCACCACACATTCTGAGCACAAGTCAAGGCCACAAGGCCAGTTCACATGCATGATTACATATATATAACGCTAAACAAGCAAGAGCAGGTATACATATATATATGTAACAGTACAAGCAAGGTCAAGAAGTGAGCAAGTGAGGCAAGGTAGGCACAAGACCTTACAGAGTACAGAAGCGCTGATGATCACAAGGCGCGAGTGCCTTGGTGAAGATATCAGCAGTGTTGGCCTCAGAGGCCACGTAAGCAAGACGCAGCTGACCGCGCTGCTGCAGCTCACGAGCAAGAAAGTAGCGAAGAGCGATGTGCTTCGTTCTGTGCTCCAGTCTGTGCTCCCGACACAAGGCCAGCATGGCCTTGTTGTCTACGTACAGAACTGGAGGAGAACGAGGCGGCTCTCCCAGGTCAGTCAGCAAGTAGGTGAGCCAGCGTAGCTCCTGTGCAGCCATGGCCCCTGCGTAGATCTCAGCCTCACAACTGGAGCCGAGAACAGAAGACGAGCGAGTAGACCGCCACGAAACAGAGCCGGAACCAAGGATGAAGGTGTAACCCTGTGACGACCGCTGCGTAGCCTGGTCGTCAGCCCAAGAAGCGTCTGCGTGACCAGTGAGGACCACTGGACTCCGCCCTCCAAGTACTAGCCCCATGCCCGACGTACTGCACAAGTAGCGCAACACCCTCTTCGCTGCAGCCATGTGCTCTGGTCTGTGTCTCCCAGGAGCAACATAGCGTGCCAGAATGCTAAGAGGGTATGCAAGGTCAGGTCGAGTGCAGGTCATCAGGTACATGAGGCAGCCAACAAGCTCTGGGTACGGGCCACTCGACTCTACGGACTCATCCGAAGGCAGAGCTGAGAGCGAGTGGCGAGTAGACAGAGGAGTGGCCTGAGGCGAGGAGTACGTGAAGCCGAAGCGCTGAAGGACCTGCTGCACCATGTGTGACTGAGTCAGGGTAATGGTGCGCTGTGCTCTGTCCCGGGTGATCTGCAAGCCAAGGTAGCTGCGCAGTTCACCTAGGTCTGTGCACGTGTGTCTCTTCTGCAGCTCGGACTTCACGTAGGCGAGTCCAGCAGTGTCAGCTGTGGCAAAGACCAAGTCGTCGACGTACACGAGGATGTAGAACGACGGCAAAGAGGTGTCGGTGCGTAGAAACAGCGACGGGTCGGCAGTGGAAGGAGCAAACCCAAGAGCCGCAAGTGTAGTCCTCAGTGTGTCGTGCCACTCACGAGGTGCCTGGCGGAGACCGTAGACTGGCCGCCGGAGGCTCCACTGGGTGCCAGGAGGAAAAGTCCCAGTGAAGCCAGGTGGGCGGCGCAACTAGATCTCCTCGTGCAGGCTGCCCTGCAAGAAAGCAGTGCTGAAGTCAAGAGAGTGAAGCTCGTAGTCACGGTGAGCGGCTATGTGCAGCAGTACCCGAAGAGTGGTCATCTTCGGGGTGGGAGAGAAGGTCTGAAAGTAGTCAACTCCCTGCCGCTGACTGAAGCCACGAGCCACGTAACGCGCCTTGAAGACAGGCGGAGAACCCGGCGGCCGCTTCACCCTGAAAATCCACATGCCACTGACGATGTTCGCCCCAGGCGGGGGAACCTCGTCAACGTAGGTGCCTGTGGACTTCCAGGAAGCCATCTCTACGTCTATGGCTGCCTGCCACTGAGAGGAGTAAGGACCCTCTATCGCCTCCGCGTAAGAGCGCGGAGTCGGGATGTCTGGTGCATCCGGGTCTCCCTCAGGGGCAAGTAGCATGGACACGAGATGAGGTGAAGCAGCCACAAGACACTGGAGGTCCTCCTGTCTGTCCTCAAGGACGTCCGTGCCAAGAGCACACTCACCCCCGACGGACGGAGGACAGACAGACACAGACTCAGTAACCAGACTAGCAGCGTAGTCTAGACGACAGCGAGCAGCGAAGTCGACAAGCTCAGCAACTAGGGCAGACGCCGCAGTAGACTCAAAGGAAGGGTCAGTGACGACAGTAGCAAGGAGACGCGTGACAGTAGGACTGGCAGCACGAAGGGAGTCTGACTCCGGGTCAGCAAGAGCAGGAAGAGAGGACTCAGGCGGGGAAGGCAACGGGGCACGCAGAGGAGCAGTGGACGGACGCAGAGACATCCGGTGCGTGCCGGGGACGGGGGGAGGACGCTGACGCAAACCACGACCACCAGTGCGAGCAGCACGGACAGGCGACGCAGGACGAGACGCAGGCTCACGACGCTCAACAAGACCTCCAGTAGGACCAGTGTAGGGAGAAGGAGCAGTTAGAGGAGAGGGAGGCTGTAACTGTGACGCAGACCGGACAGGCGGTGGACACTCTAAGGGAGGAGCCGGACTAGTGGAGGGCGGAAGACCAAGAACCTGCTCAAGGAGCGGAACGAAGTACGGCCGCGGCCGTGCAGCACCCCCAGAACCAGCAGGAACAGCGCCAGCACCACGAACGGCAGCACCAGCACCAGAAGGGACAGCACCAGCGCCAGCAGCACCCCCAGCTCCA